AGCCACCAGCGCGGAGGTCCGGACCGGCATGGCCCGAAGAAACGCCTTTCCTGCCGCCGCGCTCGGGCTCTGGACCATCCTCTCCTGCCTGTTGGGGCTGCGGGCGGAGGTCGGGCCGCCGCGGGAGGAGAGCCTGTACCTGTGGATCGATGCTCACCAGGCAAGAGTGCTCATAGGTAAGGCGCCAGAGCCCAGCACCGTCCTCTGCCCGGATCTTCCCTCTCTTTCCGACTCTTCCATTAAAGAAGGAGAGATGCACGACTTTAGTATGTTTTTAAAACTTATTTTCCAAGGAAGGCTGCTCCCCCCCTTCTAATGAGCGATTCCATCTGAAAGCATATAAACTTCTCTCACGAAACTTAGGCTCACCTAGCATTCGGATCTTGCTGTTGCTGGTTTCTACAACCCTCTGTTTTTAGGTGGACCCAGCATTTGTTACCACCAGTAAACACTCCTTCTCCCTGAAGGCATGTGCCTGGTGGCATCATCCTGATCTCACACAGAGAAAATGAGTCGGCACCAAGGCAGGTGCTTTGGGGGAAGCGATGAACCATACTGATTCTTTGGTGTTCTTGCATGCAGTGCTGATTTTGATTCTTTTAAGTCCGCCTAGTTTGATAGTTTTGTTTCTTTTTCTAAAACCAGGATTTGAAGAAGATATCCTGATCGTGTCAGAGGGGAAAATGGCCCCCTTCACACACGATTTCAGAAAAGCGCAGCAGAGAATGCCAGCTATTCCTGTCAATATCCACTCCATGAATTTTACCTGGCAAGCCGCAGGCCAGGTAAGTTCTGGTAACCAGGAAGGGTGGAGAAATGACCCTTTAGTATTGCCACTGCTTGCTGACAGGTAGAAATATACTGTATAGTGTGTAGTCTGGTATATTTTTATAATGTTTAAGAATGGTTTCTCACCTGATCTCCAAAACAAATAAAGAATTAACCCCCATTTATTTAAACACGCTACATTAATTAAGGATTCCCAAAGGAAAAGAGCAAGCAATGTGCCTAAAAACTCACTATTTTGATAAGACTCGGTGACTTCAGACTGCTGGAATATAAAGACCTCAAATACCAACATCACTTATTTCTGTGATTATTGACATTAAAATTTAACATAATATGTAAAAGGCTCGTTTTTCCCCATAGCATATACTAATCACTTATGGCATTTATACTTTACCATCAGTTTTAAGGCCTGTACGTATTTTTGACATTGTGCACTTGAAAAAAATTGGTATGTTAAATGTTACTCACTGGAACGATGTGAATGCTGTATATTTCTGGTAGGAGTTCACAGACTCAAAAAGTGTCATATAAGAACATTTGGCCCTGGCCAGTTTGGCTCACTGGATAGAGCGTCAGTCTGAAGGGTCCTGGGTTCTATTCTGGTCAAGGGCACATGCCCAGGTTGTGGGCTCCATCGGAGAGGGGGGGTGGGGAGATGCGTGCAGGAGGCAGCCGATCATTGATTGTCTCTCATCATTGGTGTTTCTATCTCTCTCTCCCTCTCCCTTCCTCTCTGAAATCAATAATATATATATGTACATATATATAAACATTTGTAAAATATTGCACATTATTGACTTTTAAGTTACCATTTAAATAATTTTATATGGAAAAGGAAAATTGCAATGTATTTTTATAAAGAAGTATTTCTTTTATTTCCTAGCAAATTAGCATCTTTTATATGTTACCTTTTATAGTTTCAGTATCACGTAAATTACCTCTAATGACAAATGGTAAGTAATAAATTCTTTTGCTCATTGGTTGGTAAAATGTGTCTAATATGAAAATCATTGTAATTGTAATTAAAATCACATTATCAGGTGTTTTTTTAAATTCTAAAATGATTAAATGGATATTTTCATGAAGAATGTGATCCAGAAAAAAACTCTTTATAAAAAGTAATATTTTTAAATTGAGAAACCACATTGGTTCCCCTTAATTACTTGTTATAGTACGGGCATGACCATTTTAGCTGTCTCTTTTCCCTCAGATCTATTCTTTCATTTTTCTTTTCCAAAGTAGATCAAACCTAAACCCTTTGACACTTCCATTGTTGCAACAACAACAACAACAACAACAACATAAGTGAGAGAGATGTTTTGTATCCACTGAAGTTCATAGCCAGAAGGCCATCTATTCTGATACCCTCATTTTGCATTTGAGTTCACTGAGGCTCTTACTGCTCTATAGAAAGATTATTGCTTTTCTTCCTACAATTCCCTCTTTATAGATACTTAATGGACAGTTAATTTTGGAATATTGTAAAACCAGTAATAAATCAATAAATGACCTTTTTATTATCATTTTGTTTCACCTGAATCTGTTTACTTGTGTTTGACTCGTATCAAATGGGGTCAATATTAATTCTGTGTTTTTAAAAAGAACATTTTCCTTACCTATACTTTTATGATTCATAAGAACCATTAGAAAGTAGCTTGACTTAGCACCCCGCCCTAGCTGCAAGGGTTTGGTAACTGTTACAGAAGAAGCAGAAAATGTCAATAGCTCTTATCTATCTATTACCTACTGATTTATTTTTCATCTGAATTTGCCTTCCAAAGAATGGAATTTGAAGCAATGGCTTGAATTTCATGTTATCTCCCCTGCTGCTTTATAGCATAGTGCATGTTTGCAAACATTGGCACATTGTTGAGTACAAAATGGAATACATATCAAACAATCTCAGGAAAATTTTTTTTAGGGGATTAGAGAAGATGGTAGAACTGGCATGGAGATGAAGCTTCCAGCATCTTTCTCTCTCCTGTTTGAGTGTTGATTACCCATGTGGATTGTCTCATTATGCAGGACAATGGTAGCACCTCAATTAGATGATCTCCCTCTCTAATTAAATCATCTCCCTCTCTGTGCCAGTCTGCTCTGGATAGGCTACCATAGGTACCTATGAAATCTGGTGTCTGCTGTTCTTAGGGAGGAGGGTAGTGACCGGGTAGGATCTTTACCATGCCAAACAGCAAGATGTTTGAATATATCATTTAAATCTGATCCATTTTACTCCATAAAGTTATGTGAAAGACCGTACCCTTTTATGTAATGATGTTCAGTTTGAATTTATATTAGTTCACACAAACACTCCATCCATGCTTTTGTTCCGGCCCTCTGGTCCTGTTTAAGAACCCATTGTGGCCCTCGAGTCAAAAAGTTTGCCCACCCCTGTCTAGCACCATAATTTTTGAAATGCGTGGAAATTTTGAAGGTGGGAAAAATAATGACTTAATACTAATTAAATGTTTTGAAAGTCATCTCTAACTAAAGCCAAACCACATCAAAACATCTACATGGATAATGTAAAGTTCATTTCATGGTCTAGTTATTTCATCCAAATAATAGCAGACATTTAGGAATTTCAACACAAGCAAAACACATAACTGATTAATGAAAATTTAAACTTAATATGTGTTTTGGCAACATGGGAAGAAAGTTAATTTTAGTTTTGAAGACCTTGTAGAGGCAATAGGTGTTATCTGCTTCCAATAACTGATCAGTCCAATAACCCAGGGTGTCTTGGACCATTTAAAATAACGTTCATGTTCTACTTCAAGCAAATACAAATAAAAATTACAGTGATATTCATTTCTCCACATCAAGTTGGTCAATTTTTTTTAGAGTTTTTAGTATGTGGAGAATTGTACATATTCATATGTGGCTGATGCGTGTTAGACCTTTTGCAGGGCAATTAGAATCTGACGGCAAAAGCTTTGATCTAGATCCTTTGGGCAATTTTACTTCCAGAGGTTCATCCTAAAGATATAATCATGGATTTGAGTAAAAATTTTAGTGCAAGACTGTTTCTAATCATGCTTTTTATAAAAATTAAAAACTGGGTGGAACCTAGGAGTCCACTGATAGTAGCAGGAGAACGGATGAAGCACTAATGAGAACATTCTAGATGTCTACTCAAAGCCATGGAAAGATGTTCATGACAAATTGTCAGTAGTCCATAACAGTATATTCTGTTTGATTGCATTATAAAATATGTGGGCAGACACAGGAAAAAACATTTGATAAATGTCTGATCCTCCATGGTGTAAACATTGGTTACATCTGCATATGTTATATTTTGTTTTTTTCCACAATGAATGTGCATTGATTTAGAATTAAAAATTATTTTATATTACATGTGAGTAAAAAGGTGTGCTTTAGAGTTTAAAGTTATATGATGTTTGTCTTATAGTTTATGGATGTTTATTATCTAGTATCATTTTTACACTACACATTACAAAATGGTAAAACAAATGGTTTTCATGGCTGATCATTACTATGGATCCAAAAGAATTCTCTAACACTTATTGGATGGTCACCAGTATCTTTTGATATCCCCGTAAATCTGCTTTGGAAGGCTTTCCCGCCTGAAATCAAATGGCCTGACCTCTTCCTCTTCCTGAAATCCTCATTTTCCATGGAAAACCCTGTCTCCACTTCATTATCCATTTAAAATACTCATTTTCTGTCATGCCCCTTTTCAAGGCTTTTAGATGAGAGAAGAATTCCTATGAAAGAAGCTTTAGACTTAAAGGATTTTTAGTAATTAAGGAAAATACCCTTTGTTACTATCTATAACTTTTAATAGTTGATATTTTTCAATGAAGCATTCCTTATTCTAACCTTTCCCTGAATTTGAGACAGGTAGAGGTCATGAGCAACCACCTTAGTTTTCTAAACTATGCACTAATTAAACATTTTATTTGGAAAATAACCCCTTCCTAAACCTAATGGCTTTCAAATAAAATTTTAATGAGAAGTTTGTTAGACAAATCTGAATTATAATATTAGGACACTGCTGCTCGTTTCCATAGGAACCAGTTTAGTATAAGGCCAAGTTTTTTACATTTATGTAGGTCATACAATAAATGTATGTTTAATACAACCTTATAAAATTTGTAAAGATCGTATAGGCTTGATTTTAATAACGCTAATATATTCTATCACCTGCATTACAATGCTAAGGTACTATGAATCGAGAACCTAGTTAGTAGGGCATCTTTTTTAGGTTGGCTCTTTTAACAGTGGTAATGGATTTATGTTGAGCCATGTATATATGACTTTTCCAGCCTCCATTTGACCAAATGCCCAGTTTTCTGCGATGGTTGGTAAGGGCTGGGCTGAAATTGGTGTCTATGGGCTAGAAATTCTCTGTGTGAAGATAACTGGTCGATATTAACTTTAAACCTATCACTGGGATTACTAGCAAGTTCTAATCACTGTATCAACAGATCCAGATCTTAGAATAAGCTTTTTATCACGTATAGCAGTGGTTCTCAACCTGTGGGTCACGACCCCTTTGGGGGTCGAACGACCCTTTCATAGGGGTCGCCTAAGACCATCGGAAAACATATATAATTACATGCTGTTTTTGTGATTAATCACTATGCGTTAATTATGTTCAATTTGTAACAATGAAAATACATCCTGTATATCAGATATTTACATTATGATTCATAACAGTAGCAAAATTACAGTTATGAAGTAGCAACGAAAATAATTTTATGGTTGGGGGTCATCACAACATGAGGAACTGTATTAAAGGGTCGTGGCATTAGGAAGGTTGAGAACCACTAATGTATAGGGATCACAATTCTTATCACCACTAGAAATCAAGTGATATAGATTTATTTTACTCAATTTCAAGATGTTTAAAAACAAAAATGAAAAGTATTACTGTGGGTACAGGATAGAAATTGCAGAATTTTGTCTGCTGTCCTGAGGAGCTGGGTGGTCATGTGTATATTGTAGAAAAATTGGTTTTATTGGGTTAAAC